TYWTYTTGTTATGCTGATACTTCTTGCACATGTTAGCGTAGGTCTAGTATTTTATAAGGCTATACTTGAGATTTGTATTGTTTAATTTCTTATATTGGTCATTTGTATTCTAAAGAGGTTCACCATACCATTGTCAAAATTGAAATTGCCGTGTTAATAGGGTGTATTTTCAAGTGTCAAAAATTTATTTTAATTCACGCGCATGCTCATTTCTAGTATCTAGTACTGATTCTACATATTGTACACAGTCTTATTTAACCAGGGGTTAAATGGGCCAAATGAAACTATTTGTTCATAATTGTTAAGTAATTAGGGGACTATCAAATCTGGACAGTAGTAATAATTGCAGTCACCGGACGGTCATTTCTGGACGGAGGAACAAGTAGTAAGAAATATAAATTGGTTGCGGCTGCCGCTGCCAAAAAAACTTACTACAGTGCAAAAACTAGGTTATTGCTACTAGAATGACTTGTTGTCACGACAATGACTGAATGTTTAAGTTAAAAATGAATAATCTATTTTTGGTCAAGGTACTAATTTATTTGCAAAAAATGGTATACCAGGGTTTGTACAAATCCACACTAAAARCAAGTTTCTTTTTGTTTCCTCGGCAAGTYCAGGGCTGTAAGAATTCTTCAAAGTTACTGGCTACCRCGCACTAAAGTTAGTGAAGTGCAGTGTAGTGCACCGTAGCCAATACATTCATTTATAACACATCACTACACTTGATGGTTGAAGTAACCACAATGACGATGCTCTTTACTACTACATACAGCAACATTGCAACTTCTGCAACCATTCCTTGACATTTTCATAGTACTACTAGTACTACTACTAATGCCCCATGGCAACTTCTTGTTCCTCAATCTCCTCACTGCTGACGATGAGTTAGTAGTAGGATACCTAGTAGTAGTACTATGCTTTGCTTCTTGTTCTTCTACATGATAGTAGACAACACAACAGCCATAGGGCCTCTTCACTCCTTCATAGTACTTACTACCACTGCATCATATTTCTTCCTGTGGCTTTGAAGTTACATTTCCATGAGCAAGAAAGGTGGTGCTGGTAATTTTCTTGTTCACACAGGGCGGCGAAGAAACAACAAGAACAAGAACAAGAACAAGAAGTAGTAGTAGTAGTAGTAGTAGTAGTAGTAGTAGTACTAGTAGTAGTACTAGTAGTAGTACTAGTAGTACTAGTAGTAGTAGTAGTAGTAGTAGTACTAGTAGTAGTACTAGTAGTAGTACTAGTAGTAGTACTAGTACTACTAGTAGCTAGTAGTAGTAGTACTAGTAGTAGTAGTACTAGTACTAGTAGGTAGTACTAGTAGTACTCTTTGTCATAATAGTAGAATTCCAATTTTATTCATCCAGTGTTCATTTCTATTTTATTCTCCATCTATTCTTAAACTAATATCTGTTATAGCTCTACTACTAGTAGTAGAATTCTTCATGCACATCTCCACATTTTAGTTTCTCTATTTCCTATTAGAAGTGCTAGTAGTGTGTACTACTACTAGTAAGGCTCCCGATTTCCTCCCGACGCGGCAACTTCTTTGAAAAGATATCGAATACCTAATACTTCTACCTACCATAAATTGAAAAATATGCTTTGTATGTACTATATGTAGCAACATAACTACGTAGTTTAAATACTGTACCTGTTTTCGGCATTGGCGTACATCGGCTGTCGCTATGGCGCTTTGTTGCATACAAGCATCGCCCGAAGTACTTGGATTATTTAATTTATATTCATTCATGAATGTTWTATATAAAAGTTGAATAGATCCGTTGCTAGGCCGATTTAAACTTTTTATCTTCTTAATGCTGTTGCATTTCAACTTGTCTCCCGAAGTTCATTTAAATTTGGTGTGACGAGAAGATATCTTGGTCTCATCAAGCAAAACAAGGTAGGTCAAGTAAAGCGACGAGGGTTCGCAATGTCGAAAGCAAGTGGTTGCAATCATTAATATGTAGCGATTTTGTTTAAGTGTAGGCTATCARAATGGCGAAGCATCGGAGAGAGTTCTTTTAACTTTGTTGTATCTAGGGGAGGTWGACGGAGTACTTCCACTATTACCTTTCGCGGTGCTTTCCAGCACGCAAATATCGTTCGTAATGTGACATCGGTGTTCGATAGCTTTCTGTTCGCCTAGATGAATTATTTCTGATAATTTTCTAAAAGTGTTGTGTTCTCTGATCCTCAAACATGTTTCTTTTCTTCTAGTACAATAATGGACGTTGCAAAAATGGAAAAGGTGGAGACACCTAAGTCTCCTGCCAAAATGAGTTTCTTCAGAAAATGGGGACCCGCTCTTGTGGCATTGGTCGGTGTTTTCGCTCTAAATGCGAGCTTATTCGGACCTACRCTTTCCGATATGCCCGACATGTCTGAGAAGATGTTGAACCGACGCGCACTCGCTGAAAAGCGAACCGCTGATGTCTTGGCCATGGCTCCTACGCAAGAGTCCACTAAATACACACCTCGTTCCCGCGGCTTCGGAAGCCGGAATCTTTCCGCCGAAGATGGTGGTGTTATGGAATACACCCGTCGTCGCCACCGATACCTCGGTGAATACGTCCACGTTGATGTATCCGACCAATTTACGAAGTTCGGAAAGTGGACCGTTTCTATCATCTACTTCGCATACTGGGTCTTCCTCATGTTCCCTAACTGGTTCCTCCCTATTGGACGTCCTGGTATTGCCCTTGGCGGAGGTCTTTCCATGGTTGTCTGGCGATACATTCTTATGGTAACCGAACAGGGTCCTTTCTTTGATGCGGAGCGAGTAATTATCCTCGAGCCTCTCTTCCTCTTGTTTGGTTTGATGCTTACCACCATCTACCTCGAGAAAATGGAACGTGGGGGTCTTTTTGATAAGCTTCGTGACTCCTTGGACGATCCCGTGAACTGGAAACGTTCTGCTAAGATCATGCTTATGTCCACGATCGGTTCCGCCGCTGTGATGAATGACTCTGTCGTTCTTATCTTTTCCGGAGTCGTTGTTGACTTGTGTGTTCGCCACAAGGTCGCCAACTCCCTTCCATACCTGCTTTCCTTGGCCACCACAGCCAACACTGGATCTGCCCTTACTCTGACAGGAAACCCTCAAAATATYTTGATTGTTTCTCTTATGTACGACGACATCTCGTGGCTTGATTTTGCCGCAAACATGCTTTTGCCTGTTGTCGCGGCATCGGTGATCAACGCATCCATGATGTTCCTTTACTATGGCGCTGAACTTTTCCCTGGTTCGTCTGGAATGATGGAAAATATTGGAATTATGTTYTTTGGTAACAGAACTCCCGAGATGTTGGCTCAAGAGCACGCATACTATGCTCGTCAAGCAGCGACCGAGGGCGAAAGCGACGGCAATGGATGGACATTCTGGTCCAAACTCCAGGTCTTGATCATTGTGCTTTTCTTGATCTTCTTTGCATGTGGATTTGATGTATGCGTAGTTTCTATCACAACAGGAGCAATTCTGATGGTCATTGCTGCCTACAAGCGTCAACACTACGATCCTAAGCCTGACCACACTCAGTATGATGTCGAAGGAAATCCTCTGCCACCCAAGAAAACATACGACATGGATGGAAACGAGATCGAGCCCGAAGAAGAAGAACTTGTCACTGAGTCTGAGACAACTCTGACCGAAGTCGATTACGGTCTTCTCATGCTTTTCATTGGACAGTTCTTGCTCATCGGATCTTTCGATGATACAGGAGTTCCGCAAGCATTCTTTGGATTGAGCATGGGTAAATGCGCTGACCAAATGACTGAAGGTGCCTGTGTGTACTGGTTTGTAACTATTGTCACAGTTTTGTCGAACATCGCATCCAACGTTCCCGTGTGCCAGATGCTTGCAGCTACGTTCCCGTACGCAACTCCTTACGATTGGCTGCAGGTATCGTTCTCTGCAACAATTGCAGGAAACTTGACCATGCTCGGATCTGCTGCTAACATGATTGTTGCCTTCCAAGCTGCTAAGGTCGGTGACCGCACTTTCACATCGGAAAGACACGCACCGTTCGGAATTCCTTCCACCATTCTCAGTCTTTACGCCGGTACATTCTTGCTTGCAACCTTCCACTTCGCCCCAGAATGTTCCGAACGCCTTGGTGAATGTGATGCCCAGTAAACAGATTTCCTATGGGTATACATTTATTTATAATCTGTCAATTTTATTTTAAAAAAATCAATGCATTATCTATCTTACGAAACGTAAACCCTTCCCTTCAGTCATGGATAATCATAAAGTTGACAAAATCTAAGTCCTCAACCAAGGACAATTTCATTCCGTTTCCATTTGTATCTCGCGAAGATTACTGCACTTAACGTCGTTGTTGTACCGTGTGCGAGGCAAGGCTATCTTTCATSGCGTAACAACTGTTTTTGGTATGATATAGCACTCCAGACTTGAAAACAAAAGTAAGGCTGCATCACGTTAGATTTCCTAGTTCGCGATGCCCGTGGCAAAGAAAGGAAAATCAACGATCTGCTCAAGGGTGAGGAGTCAATGCACCCCACGATCCTTCGTGAGAAATTACTGTGTTTGAAAGAAGCCTTAGCATGCATTCTTGTTCGGGTTCAGAATCTAAACAAAAKTACTATTATTCTTTTATGGTCACTGTATCCAAAAAAAGTACATGCAAATATGACGTATGAATTATTATTCCCTCTGACCTTATTGTCACAGACACAGCTAGCCGAACGTCGACCTTGCGTACCGTAGCTTTAAAATGTCGGCCACTTCTTCTATTTCTTCCAGGGCGCGATCAAGTTGCTCCCGTGTGTGCCCGGCCGAGATGCAGAACCGTGCCCTRCTCTCTAGGATCGGGACCGCGGGGAAGCCCACGACCACGACGGCCAATCCCCTCTTGAAGCACTCGCGCGAAAACGCGGCGATTTTGGTAGGATTGTAGAGCATGACCGGCATAATCGGACTATCGTAGTGTCCCAGGACGTGGAGGCCCATGGTCTGTAGCCGCATTCGAAAGTAGTTGGAGTTGTCCCGGAGCGCTTGTATCTTTTTCCTTCCGGTGCTGGTCCCGTCCTCTCCCATCACCACCTGGTTGGTTCRTCAGCGAGACAGCAATGACGTCGMGTAAGCGAACAAAGGACGGAAGGGATGAGGTGRGGTGAGGAAAAGATTGAAAAAMATTCCCGCAAAAAAGTGCACGAAAACGAYGAGACGAGCAGCGAGGGTAACAGCAACTGTGTATGATTCTTCTTACCCTGAAGCTGGTGATTACTTGCTGGCAGACCGCGGGGGAAAGCGAATTGTGGAAGGTGCTTCCTGCGCACCGACGCCTCAAAAACGAAATCACGTCCTTGGATCCAGCAATGTATCCTCCCATTGCACCGAAGGACTTTGTAAAGGTTCCCATCATGATGTCGATGTCGGCCGTGTCGACGCCACAGTATTCGGCGCAACCCCGCCCCGTCGGACCCATGGCGCCAATAGAGTGAGCCTCGTCGAGATACACGTAGGCGCCGTACTTCTTGCATACGGTCACGACGTTCGCCAGGTCGCAGTATTCTCCCTCCATGCTGTAGATTCCTTCGACGATTACCATGATCTTGTTCCAGGGCCGCCGGGTGCGGGGCCTTCCCATGATGATAGCCTGGCGCAAGATCTCCTCCAGGTGCTGGGTGTCGTTGTGCCGGAATATGCGAATAGCGGCACCGCTTGCCCTGGCCCCATTGACAATCGAGGTGTGGTTAAGCTCGTCGCTGATCAGCAGATCACCGCGGCTCGTCAGCGCCGGAATAGTCGTGCAGTTGGTGTTGAACCCCATGTTGAGGGCCAGTGCGTCTTCCTTGTTCAGAAAGCGTGCTACGGTGTCTTCGACCTCGCGGTGCAGTTTTGTGGTCCCAAACTCGTTGCGACAGGAACTGTTCGAGATCGGCAAGTCCTTCAGCGACGCTAATACATCATCGCGGCAGGTTTCTTTCCAATCGTCTGCAAATCCWAGGTAGTTGTAGCTGCCGAGGTTCAGGCAGGCCCGGGCTGCCCGTCCGGTCTGGTTGTGGTCGGATCCGTTGGGATCGATGGCCGTGGCTTCGACAAAGTGCGACCGCGAACGGTTGCCAAAATTCGGGTCCGTGTACTCTCTGCGCTGGCGGTCCRTGTCTAGCTCTTGCAGAGTCCCGAGCACCGACATGGTTTTGTTTCCGTCGGAACTCACGCGTTCCAGTACATGTATGTTGGCACCCGGGCTGGAAGCAATCGGGCGATTGAAACAATCCTGAATGCGGTGGTAGAGCCTGCGCGTGTAAAAGTTTTCCCAGGAAGCGAGGAGGGGGGCGTACCACCGGAGGTCGTCGCTGGGGTAGGGACTCGCATCTGTATGGCGCAGATATCGTCCCTGGCCCAGGATCTTTGCAAACAAATCGCGAACGTGCCCRCAAAATATAAGAACAGCGTAGCCAAAGTACGTGGTATACGCCGCAAAGAGCGGCAGTTCGATGGCATGGATCTTGGGCTGTCGCTCGTCGGGGAGCGTTTTCGCTTTGGTACCACCGTCGGCCTGCTGGTTGGGCGAATCCTCACAGGACGAAGCGTTTGCATATCGGTATCTGTCCCGCCGCGAGAGTTCTTCCAATCGATCACGAACGTCCGCGTACGCATCCTCTTCGAGCGCGAGCGCAAACGGGTCGTTTTCCTCCTCCTCGGGATTCGAAGAGACAAGGCTGCTTGTTGTGCTGAACGTAGAAAGGATCTCGGTGGTTTCGGGGGTGTCATCTGTTTGGTCATCGGATGGYGCATTGGTAYTGGACTTGGCACCGTGGGAACCAGGCTCTTTTACTGCGTTCTCGTAGATCTCGTTGCCACTTGTTCGTTTGTTGAGACCGAACAAATGTCGCAACCGAGACTTTGGCCTCAGGTAGGACGCCATCTTGGTGTGTACAATGCTGCTTTGCAATGCTGTTTTTGGTTTGGTTTGGTTTGGTTTGGTTTGGTTTGATCTGTTTAGTTCGCAGTTGAAAAACTTTTCTTCGGATGAGAAGTACCACTATTCGGTAGAAGTACTACTAGCTAGTACCGGTATTTCCTAGAAGTACCTTGAAGGCACCGTACGATATTGGAAGTCGAAACAGTACGGTACGTAGTAGCGCACGAGGAGGATCTGATAAGTTGTCTCAACGAATTTTCCTTTCTACAAACACAACTATCCTCATACAGTGAAATAGGCTAATCGTGTCGGATGAAAAAATCCTCTCGAAAAAGACTACATACGGTAGTACCGTACGAGTACGGTACCGTAGGGTAGAGCACAAAATGAACAGTGCGGGTACCATCTTCGGTACAAACTTGAATTGGTTTTCGAGTTGGACCTCGTACGCSGCCACCATCGTAACAAGCAGTACTTAAGAGGAATTTTGCAATCCCGAACCTCTCGTGCTCGATGGAGAAAACGAAGAACACTACTTTTTCCCGCCCATGCCAGCTGGTATTTTTTTAGAGGACGACGAGTATGTACGGGACTCGAGCATACAAGTAGGGTACTCGTACCGGTATTAGGTTGTACTTCGTCTGTACTGTACTACAGTACGTACAATACCGTAGYGTACTACGTAAAGTATTCTTTCTTGTCATTTTATTTCTGTACGAAGTACGAACTCTACGTAGTATGTACTTCTAGTTTCTTTTTTGTCTGTACCGTACCCATGCATAGCTATTCACGGTGTCAATTTAGAGCAGTTTTGGCGTCAATTTGGAGTTCAGGTTAATCTTATTGGGTGAGTCCCAATATTATAGAAATGCTAAATTTGATAGACAGACAGACTGAAATTTTATCACATGATGTTGTAATAGATTTAGCACTTTTTTGATGGGTCTGTTGGACCCATCCTAAATGTGCTAAATCTATKATGGAACCCACAATTCAAAATTTCAAGTCCGTTGTAGTAAGTGTGAGAATTCAACAGAAAGGCCCGCAAATTTAAGACAGGACCAACCCAAAATTAAGACTTTTTTCTAAACAACAACAGTGGAGCATGTGTCAGGGCTAAACAGCTATCAATAACATCCGGGGCGCCTCTATTACTAAGAATGGCGCCCAGGGACATAAACTAGTATGTCTCAATCAGTGCTATTAGTACTAGTCAGTACATTCTAGTATTTCCTTTGTTTGTTGCAGCAAAGAGAACAACAACACTTGGAGGAGGAGGAGGACACGGCCAGCATCCTCACCAAAGAGAGAACTCATTGTCACCCAACTGACATCCCCCAGACTATCTTTGTTGAGATGGAGGCAACTGGTGGCAATATCGGGGGCTGTAGGACCAGTACTGTCAACTACTCACGAGAGGAGCTCACCAGTCTTATGAGTGTGATACTGGACATCCTCCCTACAGATGCTGAGGAATGGGACTCTGTTACAGCAAACAAGCATGCAGAGAGATGGCCTATAGGTAGATCCAAGATGTCCATCAAGACTAGGTATGCAGCTGTTAAGAGGATCAAGAGCTCAAGAACTGGAAATCCAAACATGCCAGAGTATGTGAAGATGGCACAGAGGGCCCATATCTTGATTGGTGAAAAGGCAAATCTTGGTACTGGAGAGGAGGACTTTGATATGAAGCAAGGCTTCATCAAGAGTGAGGCTGTGGCAGGTTTAGAGCTTGTTCKTGATGGAGCTGCTGTCAGGGCTTCCAGCAGGGCTTYGATTATTCTTGCCKGAGACRCRTCTTCCRGTGAAGAACAACAGGAGCAGGAGGAGTTTGCTGCCGTAGCTTCCCCCAGCAATTTGACCCCTTCACTTGTTGAATCAACCTCAGCAAGGAAGAGATCTTATCAGCAACAGAGGAAATCCAGTGTCCCGGATGCTGAAACATTYAATGAATATATTAAGAGYCAGGAGAAAAGAGAGGAAAGAAGGGACAAAGAGAACYGTAAGATGTACCRACAGAATCAAAAGATGYGGAGGGAAGTTCTCAGAACTGCTGTTAACATGTTAAATAAGTGACAACAACAACAACCAGCACCTTACCATGGTCCTCCTTCCCCTTAGTACCATTAMCAATAGTTCTCCACCARCTGCTCCTGCGTTGACTGCCCCATCAATTGTTGCCCCRTTGACTGTTCCATTGACTGCCATGTCRTCTACCTGTAAATGGCAATGCACCGGGGACAAAGAATCCCACCACCATGGTGAAGAGCACCTTGGGCCAGAGGATGTTTAAATTGTTAAACTACATTAAACTAAACTAAACTAAACTAAACTGTATCTGTTCTGATACAAAACAATGAGCTCAAGCATACTACGCACACACTGTACAGGAACTTACTCCAGTTTTCTTGTAAAGGTTTTTGTGCATACTACCAATGCAGGATTAGAAACTGTTTGGCCTCTGTTGGCAGGTGTGAAGTCCCACAAAAACGGTTCGGATCGGCATGCACATGTTGTGAATCATAAAGTTGTCTTCATTACAGTATAACACAGAACTTATATTCATGACAGTGTAATCCCTTATGTCGTACTTTGCTGTAACTAAACTTCCTTGTTTCAAAACAACTACAGCAGCCAACAGATCATGGGATTCACCCTCAAAATACTCCATTTCCATCTGGGGAAAGCCCAAGTCCAACATGGAAGTAACCTGCTGCAAGATCATTCCGTAACTCTTCATGTGGGACCTCTGGATCTGTGGCTGGTGGTGTCTTCATGAAGGTTGACAGGATCAGGTTGTGTCCAATGGTACTACACTGGAAGTTGTACAAGTTGATATGAAGGTTCATGGTGATTCTTCTTTCTCCCTGCTCCTCCAAGCACATCCGGTCTTTGATTCTGGGGAACTGGATCATGCGCATTCCCCATTCTGACATCTGTCTCAAGGACATTGTGTCCCTGTTGAGAAGTATCCACTGTGGTTGATCAGGGTCTCTCTGTGAGCTCTTGATGAGGCTATCCTTGTAATCATTCAGAGCAAAGGCTGAATCAATCACAACCTTTGCATCATTACACTCTTTATGAACCTCCACAATCCTTTGGTACACACTATGGTCAGCAATGGCACTGTCATACCACAACCCMGGGCAGTTGTATACTGCTATCATAATCCTTCCATCTGGGGCAAAGGCAAATACATTATTGATGTAGGTGTTCTCCTTCCATGCATTGTAGAATGGTCTTTGTTTATACCAGTCTCCAGAGGCTTCAATCACTTGTTTGAGTCCATCCRCAGCACTCCACACACATTGTTCTCCAAGCCTTGGATACTTCTCTCCAATAGCCTTAACATAAGCATCCACTTCTTGCTTAGTTGGGACACTGACCAYGKCATCCAGGTGTTTGTGAAGGGCAACAAGCATCACTCTCCTTGAAAACTTGAGCCACTTGTATATCACTGTGGCCATTGCTCTTGCTACAGATCCTCTTGTCCTGAACCAGTAAAGGACGAGTCCAATGGCACCAACTGCATCAACCTCACTCTTCTTTCCCTTTGGTTTCCCACTGGGAAAGCATTGAAGCTSAAAAATCTCATTGTTGTTGGTGACAGTAAACTTGTTGTAAACTGGAGCAAACAGGCCAACAAGGTCCCTGAAGACCTTGTGGTCTACACCACAGCAGTTAAGGAGTGCTTGTTGATCCCCTGAGTGGAAGGGGGGGTATATGAAGGGGGAATCAACATATCTCCACATTGCAAGTCGTGGTGTTCTCCTGTCCCTACGACGTCTCTCTTCTGGAGACAGTTTGCAGTAAAACTTTGCTCTTCCTCTGCATTCAACTAGAGGAACCAGTACATCATGATGACCTCCACTATTCCCATTGTCGATGTTGCCTTGTTTCTTGCTGGGAGGAAACTGTTGTCTAATAGTGTGTTTGTTGACTCGACCGTGAGGTTTGTGTAGTKCAAGGAATGAACATATATTTGGATACAAAAGTTATTGAGAGTATCAAAAATTTGTGCATTCCTCACACTAGGCAGGAGAGGATCCAAATTTTCATGTTTTTCTTTGTACCAGGAACAAGTGGCGCGCGTTTTTAGTCATTTTAGTCTATGTTGAAGATTCCAAGTTCCCAAAAAGACTGGCATCAAGCCGGCCATCCTCTTGGTCTGTCCGTTGAAATTTTGATTCCCGTTATTATAGAAGTGCTAAAATAATTGATTTAGCATATTTAGCAATCTATAATATCGGGAATCACCTATTCAAACTAGTAAAAAAAGTATTTGAACTAGTAGTCAAAAATGTATTCTAACTAGTCAAGACACAAAATTTRATCTATCTTCACTCCGAATGAAATTCTATGATTAAATCAAAGTAGTCAAAGCAAAAGAAAATTGTGCTCTAGAATTCACATGTGAATGAAATTTTGTTAACCAAATCCCTATTATTAGCCAATCAGATTGCTTGATTCTTATTTTTTCTCTAACTCTAAATTAGMACCAAAATCAACATAAAACGACATTTTGGCCAAAATGAACAGCTGTGCATGGAAGCAACTGTGCATTGCCACAGGTTTTCATCATAGGTTTTTAGAGCAGTTTTGGCRTTGATTTAGAGTTCAGGATAATCTTGTTCAAACTACTCCTGTACAGGAAACATCTGTTCTTACAGTTGTCCCAAATTAATGCAGCCTGTCCTACCTGTATATGCTACAATTGAATCAATCCAAACAGCGTGCTCCCACAATGGTGAATGGTACACGCACAACAAGGTTCTCATTGTGAATAAACTAGAAAATGAACACATGGCATTGTTGGAGCTGGTGTGATAATATCAGAGCTATTTCCACACCAAGCTGACAGACAGCAACTCACCAATTCCCACTACAGAGACAAAGACTTGGTTGGCAGGACTATTACATTCACTCAAGAACCTTGGTAAGCTATGGCACCAACAATATGGACATGTTTCCCCTACTAATACTTTCTCCAAGACCCAATGGGTTGTGGAAGGTATCCCARAACTATCATCCTCCACTCCCTYCTTTTAATGCCCCTTCTGTGACAAGAGCAAAATGACCAAATACTCAGGCAAASACAARCCAAGGAAGGAGAAATTCATCCCAGGACAATYGTTCCACATAGACCTCCTCTCCTTTGCYGGTGGCCCCCAAAACCTTTCTGCTATTATAAACAAYAATGCAAAACCCCTTCCAATCATGAAGAGGAGCAGACATGGCTGCATTGGTTTCCTAACAATAATTTATGCTKCCACAAGATCCCTTTGGACTTTCCCAACAAAATSCARAGACCCAAATTCAAACCACTGATCTTTTCTCCACAAGCATTGAATCATTCAATGCTTGTGGCATGATGCAAAACATGAACCCTTGCAAGGCAATWCAAACCAAAACTATCACTACAACCAAAASCAGCTCAGAGCCTAAGACTATTGGATTTCTCCAGAGGACAAAGGAAACTTCCTCCATCTTCTACCAGAGCAGTTAGACTGCGCTATCATGAGTGATGGCAGTGGAAAACTTGCTAAATCCAACTGCTTCTGTGAGACATCTACTCTACATCATTGCTACAACATGCTCACTRCAGCTGCAGAAACCTCTTCACAAAATGGACTAGTTGAATGACCTCACAGAACACTCAAGGAAAGCATCCAGTGTCTCCTGTATACTGTCAGCATAGGAAMTAAATACTGGGCTGTTGTATTCCTTTGTGTTACATAGCTCTACAATRGWACATACCACACCAGTACTATAGACATGACACCACTACAACTGTACTAAACAGGCAGGGTTCCCCTCATGGATAACCTAATTACATTAGGAGCAAAGATTGTAGCAAAAAGACCTTACATAAGACCCAATACCACACACTTATGGACCTATGATGGTATTTTCTTGGGATTCCAAGGATGAATTACAGTATCCCCAAGCAGCTCATCTGCTTGAAACATTCACTGAGGGCATTCACAAGTTCCACTCCACAAAGACCTTGCCAGAAATTGCAGTAGTTACAATCAAAGATCCATGACAAGTTAACCCTACAGCKTGTGGAGGAGATCATCCATGATTCCCCAAGCAGGTATACAACAGCCCCTGCTACAAAGCTTATTGTACGTAGTATCTACCACAAAACAAAGTTCAAGTGGAGACGCTACTAGATATCTCCACTAATTTTCTTCTCCAGGAGACCTTGCACACCTTCCCAATCTGTAACATCAACTCCTTTCACYAAACTATGGGCTTCATCATAGCCATGCATCCTGATATAACTAGTAATGCAGTTGAGCTTGTCACAATGATTCAAGTGGGAACCATAGCACTCATGTATCTGTGGGTGGTGACAAAGTCTAGGAGGAACTATAAATCACAACTGTTGATGGCAAGCCAGTTCACTCCAACCAAGACATTGTTGGTGCTATTCAGCACACCAAAGATACACACTGGTCATCAATTAAAGCACATTTGGATCACTAACTGACTTTGCCCTTACTAGTGGGGAAAGTCTACCAATCCTGCAGRCAGAACAACTCACCGTTATTGCCTATCACCTACATTGCCTCAACTACAACCAAGACTTATGGCCTGGCCAATCCCCATCAACTCTACGCTTGACAACCAGCTCTGTATTGCAAAACAGGWCCAAACTCCTACACACTGATAAATGGGATGGCTTACTTAAATCTGAATGGAAACAACTCAAGAGATTTCATCACACGGACATGTTCAGCAATCCAGTACAGGCCATCAACTCTGATATGACCATACTCTGCCCCTTGGGTGTGRACAGATCTTGAAAAGGAAAATCGTCTCACAGGTATTGATGAACAACCTAATGAACAAGGCTGATACAATGGAGGCAGATGCTACAGAAAAGCTGTTGCCCTTGCTGAAACATATGCATCATGTGTAGTAAAACAGCMCATTCATTGATTAACTTGAGCACTTGCAGCTGCACTGAACCTCAAGTGTGTGGGCTATACTGTTGGCAGTGCCTTTGCTGAAGCACCTTCACTGAGGACAAGCCCCTTCTTTATGAAAATTGACACCCCATTTCAGCAATGGTAGACTGACTACCTCCATAAAGACCTATTTCTAGTATTGGCCATCTTGTSCCTATCTGAAAGGCTCTCCAGGGACACCCTGAAGCACCATGATGACTCTTGGATGAACACATCTCCAAACTTCTCACACACAACTTTGGCTTTAAACACACTGGTGGTGCTGTCTATAAGCCTTGTCTCTTCTACAAACCCAACACAAATGACCTCACAATCATTCTCTTTCTAGACAGGTGAATGATATACTTATTGCCATTCTGCAGCATGTCTGTGATACCATATAAGATTGTGTCCACCAATAGCACATGTCCAATCCACTAGTAAATATGGTGGTTCTTGTTGCAACCATTTGGAAGCTCAACAGTGTCCATGTTGACCAAACATGGTGGCACTTCAACCACCTACACTTGTCCTGTGTCAAATTCATTGAAAAGATATGCTCCTAGCATCATAGTTGAGATAAGATCAACACTAAAACACAAAAACTTCCTACTAGTACTAGGTAGATACTAGTCACTCCCACAAGTAGTAGTAGTAGTAGTAGTACTACTACTACTACTAGTAGTACTACTAGTAGTACTAGTAGTAGTAGTAGTAGTAGCTACAACTACTACGTTAGCATGGCATATTTGACTCACTTCTTGACTCTTTAGATCCTGCATTTGCATTTGCAGGGAGGTGTGAGACAGTAAACACCTCAGAATGACAAGCAGCTAATGAATAACCTCACTCTTTATTGTAAACACCACCTATTTTTACYAATGAGCCTACCAGCATTTCACATCATTGATTACTGTACCGTACCGTACTGAGTTTCACTTTGACGACTGATAATGCTACTGTAGGACTTAACGCAGTACAGTAATTCGGATCTTTGCTGAGTAAGTAGATGCTCCGGTACGTAACGTAACCTAGCGTAACGTAGTTCACTCATACGCACTGACGCTTCGTACATAACTACTGCTGTGGTTCTGAATGCTGGAGTGCGTAAGAATGTTGAAAAGAATACAGCATAAAAATTTCCTCTACTTATGGTGTCTTGTCACGCGCGATCTCCAGAGAACCTACCAAAAGTCTGTACGTTACATGAGGTACTTCAATGATCGATTGACTGACACMCATTTTTTATTGAGCTCATTCTGTTGATCAAAAAGAAAAAAACTCCTTGGTGTACGGTACCGGTACTGGGTACTGTAGAAGATACCGTATTCTTGTGGAGAACACGTTCGTACCGTGATTTCTTTTGCGGCTGAAACAGAAAAGAAGTCAAGTRCGAGTAAAATACGAATACGAAAGCTTACGTCTACCGTAGCTAGTTCTCGATAGATTCTTGACACCTCAGATATCTTTTGTCTCTTGGAGCAACTGCTCTGGTTTTGTCTTGAAGGCATCCCACGGAATCATGAAAGAGTCAACGAGAAACGAAGCTGCTTCTGAAAGCACATACGATGAAAAGCAGAATTGCAACCTCCAGGACAGCGAGTTTACAGTAGATTCGTCGGAAACCGAGCACGAGGCTTCAGGGTCGGGATGGCTGGGCGGGATGGGAACCGAATTTTTGACCTGTCTGACCGAAAACGTTAGTCCCGTAGTCTCCGGAGTGGCAACCCTGGTCCACAAGACCGCGGTCGCGGTGGCGAACGAAATCGCACAGCTCGAACGAGACGGCGAGCTCGAGGCCGAGGCCCTAGCTGCAGCAGAAGAGCTGTCGAGGGACTCTCTGGGTGCAGGAGGCAGAAACCAATACAAGGAAACGGGCGACAAAAACCTTTCTTCGTCGTCCTTTGATTCAAACACAAGCGAGGCAGAATGCCTTAGCTTGCCTTGGGAAGTTCGCCAGGAAACACCGCGAAATTCAACCGAAAACAAAGAGAAGGATGGCATTCCTGTTTATATCACTGACATCAAGATGATGAAACAGATTTTTGCTCTTTCTCGGCAAGAGTCAACCTTTCTAGAGCCTTTCTCGAATGATTCGCCGGAAAACGATGTATCCCCATCTTGTTCGCTTTCCTCGTTCTCGTCAAAGTTTGCGATGAGCGAGCCCCGGCTCAAATTGATCAGCCGCCTCTTGGACATCGACAAAAATCTCCAGGCTGTGCATTCTAGGTTGACAGGTGAGTTATATTTTTTGTTCATATCCCTTGATTCATTCATACAAACGAAAGTGGTATGGAATAGCATATTCTATCCCTTAATAGAAAGCGACCGAATTGTAGATTAGCAAGGGTGCGCAATGCTGAGCTAGATTTTATATTCGAAGTAGGCACATTATGAAAAGCCATCAACTCACCGAGTCGACCTTATATTTTTTTGTTCAAAAAATATACAAAGAAGGTGCACAAGGCCAATCGACTCCTATCTTCTGGAAGAATTATTTTTTTCACTGTGAAAAAGTCAGAGCTGAGGAACTTGATCGGCGCGAGGCGGGAAGAGCAACGAGTCCATCACTGGGGATTCTGGACAGCTTTGGGTTTGCATCATTGAAGACCGATTTGGAGAGCGCGAAAGACGAAGGTGTCAACGACGGTGGCAACGACGGTGTCAACGACGGTGAATCATTGGTACCCGTCGAATCCGATGTCGAAGGGCAAAACGACGACGATTCCTCGTACGTCATTCAATCTGCGCCAAACACCGGTGAATCTTTTGCAACAACGAGATCTATCGACGACGACATCATWATTGTGGATACCCAAGAAAAACTKAGGGTAATAAGAGAAAACAAAAAACATTGAATGGTAAAATGCATAAATATTTCTTATTTCAAGAATCTCRATTTTATGTTCAGGTCAATTTGACCCAGGTTCCTTCGCCGAGTGAGAAAAGAGTTGTACCATATCGATTCGTCTTTCTATTTTGCATAATATTCGAATTAGATTAAAATTTAAAAGTGTGTCTGACAAAGGTCACTCTTTACACCAATAAAATTCCATTTAACGTAGACTAGACTACAACAAACATTAAGTCAAACTCATGAGCTCCCTCATCAAGAGTTCGTCATCCTTTTTCACAAAGCGTCCTTTGACTCGTAAACGGCTATCCGCAAAATTCTTTCGAACGTCGTATTTCACTGTCTTCGTCCAAACTCGGTGGTTTCTCTTCTCCAAGAAGCGTCCAATACGAACTTTCCGACTTTCGGGCGAGTATGCACCGATCCAACCATCTGGACGTTCAACTTCCAAGAGTCCATCTTCTCCGACCTTGGACTTTATGTTTGGGTCACTCATAGAGCGAGGTCGACCCGATCCTGGCACATGGATTTCTTTCTCTTTTATYTTCTCTTGTTGTTCCAACCCTTCCTTCTTTTTCTGTCTTTCTAGCTTGGCTCGTTCTTTCATTGCCTTTTTTTCTTGTTTTTCTTTTTCTTTTCTTTCCTTCTTCAACAGTCTTTCTTTTCGTCTCTGTTCCTTCATCTGTTCTTTTGCAATTGCSGCTGCTGACGGTTGCTTCGSGACTCTCGTTCCCGGGGGAGCTGATTTCCGCCTCGCGGGTTTCGATGTTTTGGGTTTKGTTTTTGATTTCTGTTTTTGTTGCTTTTTTTGTTTCTGCTGAGTCAAAAGCTGCTGGAAGTGGTGCTGATGCTGGAGCTGTTGCTGAAGTAGTTGTTGCTGGTGCTGCTCTGGTTGCACGGGTAGTTCTGCCGATCCAGATGAGGATTCCATCCAACGACCAAAATTCGCTTGTGTGTCAGGAGTCTGGTTTCCAATCAAAGGAGAAAACAATGAGTTCGATCGTGATCTAAAGTTTTCAAGGTCAATCGACATGGCAGAGTTTGCACGTGAWCGTTGCTGTTGTTGCAAAGCTAATTCCAACGCAGACCAGGTTGAGTTAGCTCGTGTGCGATTTTCCAGAGCCGACCAGGTTGAATTGGATCGMGATCGATTGTCATCTCCTTGTTCCCAATTACCTATTCCGCCATCGAACTCTAAATCGCCGATCCCGTCAGAAGCTACAGAACCAGTTTTACCGCCAAAGTGATTGTTTGTATCGTTTTGTTGTTCTCTCTCCTTCACATTAAGGAAGTCGAAGTCTAATTGTCCCAACAAATCGATCTCTTCTGTTGCTTTATTGGAAAGGGAACCATTGTGCAGAATTCCCTCTAGCATACTTGCATCGCCCTGTTCGTATCGATCAAGAGCATGTTGTATATCATTATCTTGCCCCGAAATAATTAAATCCTTTAAAATCCCCTTTTGATCTCTATTGATCATCCCCTTTTCTTCTAACTCTGTTGATACTAACAAACGCTCCGACAGACTCTGCAAGAAGGGTYGAGCAAACRTAAATCGTTAGACAGGGACCTGTGTACGCAACATGTGATTCTTTTGAAGCAACRAAGTATACTTACTCCTGAACGCGGTCTTTTCCCGAAGTGCATTGTTTCGTAAGGAGTGGACATACTTGTTGGGGGTGTATGTGATAGTAGTTGWGTTGATGGCGAATTTTCCTCATCATTTTCTGSCTGAGTGTTCTTGAATACCTTACTTGCTGCGACAGGATCCTGTATGTTGTTCATAAAGAATCCGCCTTCTCTAGAGACRGGTACCACGCTTGACTGATTGGCATGGACAGACTGTTGAGATCCCGGGGACAAAGATTTCTCAGGAATAGGCTGTAACGGTTGRAATTTCATCGCCGATGTTGATTCTGTTATTCGCGCACTAGTTTCATCATCGCCACCACCATTAATAGTGTTCATGACTCCATCAGTAGWACTTTCAATCGCGGATTCTTTGCCACAGGTCATATTATTCTTTCGGATTGTATTTTCTGCATCTGCTGTATCCATGACTTGATTTGAGTCCACAAACTCGGTACTTCCTGTCATATCGTTTGTCTCCAACGTAACAGTCTCGGCAGATTGTTCTATGTGACCACTGATAGCTGTCCTTCCGCTATCGGTATCGGTCATCGCCAAATCTAAATCTTCAAGTGCTCGTTCTTCTTTGTGATTAGATTCCTTACCCATAGAATCTTCGCGAAAAACCATGGTTCTAGTCCTCATTTTCGTGCTACCTGCCCCAGCAATTCTTAAAATAATGACAGCAGTGCCTACAGAAAAATGTTCTTCGATCTTATTGTTGCTAGAACTGATGCAGCTCTTGCTAATCCTCAAATTTGCCCCGTCCCGTGCTCGAGGAGAGTGATGAAACCACTAGGTTGAATGTGTTGTGATCGTTGCTATATTGCATTCAAACAAATCGTTTAAACTTCTCGGTGCATAAACTAATGTGCAACATAAAGCGTTCGATCGAATAACAGCAGATTGCTTCGACACGTTTCTTGTAGAGGCTGGCAAAGAAAGAGACCAAGGAGTTTGAATCGAAGTGATGGGCCAAGAACTTCTTCTCTACTGTTCGAGTACGTTACTGTAGTACACGGTACGGTACGAATTCGTAGCCGAGGCATGCCATCATCATACTTTAGCGTAGAGCAGTAAATGAGTTTCTACGGGCCATTCGTACCGGTAATCCTACTGAAATTGTGCAGGAAAGCAGATGGTCGTTTTTACGGCAGAGTACATACGCTGATGACGATAGTAGTACGAATTCTCGTTCTACTTCACGATTTTAGAAGTACGATACACATCATGATGGACTGTATCGTGCGGTTCCTACTGAAAATAACTCGTACTACCGGTACTGCACGTGAAAAAAAGAATGATGATGATCATCATCCTTTCTCTTCACGGTTGTGATTTAACATGAAATTCAGAATCATAAGTCAAGGAGTGTTCGGAGTAGAGTTCGAAACGAACTTATTCTGTCCTCTCATCAATGAACATAATGAGTTTTCGTCAGCTATTTATCTAGCAATAATCAGAAAACTGAAGAGTGAAAAAAAACGTACGTGCGCGACCATATAAATAACGCTTATTTGTAATAGGGGGATGAATAAAGCGCACACAAAAAAATTATTGGGTGATTCCCGTTATTCTAAAAACTCTAGATTTGATAGACTGACAGACCAAAAATATGGAGCATGTGTCTAATATTAGAACCGGTCAAAGCACCTCGTCCAAAGTACTCTACCTCTGCTTGACAGAAGAAGAAGTGTTTTTAGGGATTCTATGCATGCCATTTTTGGGAAGCTTCTTGTTCTCAGCAACCAGTCATTGTCCAGTGACTATGTCCGACATATCCATAGACACAGAAAAAAGAGCAGCAGCAGCAGCAGCAGCAGCAGCAGCAGCAGTAGTAGTAGTAGTAGTAGTAGTAGTAGTAGTAGTAGTAG